GCGCATTTCTGTGTCTTGGTGCATGGTCTATGCAGTTATTTTTAATGCCGCTTAGTCTAAACTCAACATATTGATTTAGAAAGTTTATTGTTTAAAATATCTTGTTTAATAGGGGTGCTGTCGGTAATTCTAACGTGTCATGTTTTGAAATTTTGTACTGAGGCTGACCCTTGATAGAAAGTGTACAAGTATGGGGAAAGGTTTGAAAGGTGTTTTCAGCCTGGACAAGAAGTGCCTGAAAGGTTACTTGTATATGGTATATAACATAGAACTTTTAGAAATAGAATTAGGTTTTATTTTCACATGTACGCAAAGTATAGCAATACATGAGCACAGTGAGAAGTTTGCAATGTCACCATTTATGGCACTATCTTAGGTACAAGGTAACTAGGGACACAATCTTCAGTTCAACATCACAAATCATCTCAGTATAAAGTAGGAAATAAGAAATAAAATTAAAAGTTCCAAATTACGGTTCTTCTTTAGCCATGGGCCTGCAGTTACCCCATGCTGGACTTTCCCTACGAGGGCTCAATCTCTTGATCCATATGCATCCACACTGTCGGCCGCCATCCAGGCTCACCAGCTGCCAGAGTCCCACTCTGGTGCCGCTCCGTGCCCCCAGCCACTTCCACGACACCATCGGCCACCAGAATTCTGCTCGGGCACACCAACCAAAGACCCTACTGTGGGCCCCCAGCCACTCCTGCCGCCTCCACGACCAAACTCCCTGCAGAAGGTAAGTAGGAAAAAAAAGCGAGAAAAGAAGAAAGTGGTCAGGGCAGATGAGCTCCAGTTCAGGAGCTCTACTCCTTCACCGTCTTTGATCCAACAAAACTATGTATCACAAAGTGAAGAGAATGGAAACAAAATTCAGAATGTTGCTTCAGATTAAAGACAGTAGAGCAATAAGGCATAAGTTCGATAGGAGGTATGTTCGGGGCTGGTATCAAGGAGGTCTTCTCATCAAAATTATTAACCAACACTTGAAATATACTAAACAAAAAACAACGCTTAAGAACTGTAGATGTTGGAAATCAGAAACAAAAACAGAAATTGCTGGAAAAACTCTGCAAGTCTGGCAGCATCTGTGGAGAGAAAGCAGTTAATATGTCAGGTCCAGTGACTCTTCATCAGAAATGTACTGCAAGGCAGAGCTATGAAGTCAGAAATCAAGAATCATCCTGAGGAATAGTTTGATGTATTACTGAGTTACTAGCAGGTCTTCCTCTATTGATATATTACAATGGGCTAAATAGCCGTCCTAATCCATGCCTTGTGATTTCTTCATTCAGTGGGGAGTGCTCAACTTATTCTGGAAGTTACATACTATAATTTTTTTTTATTCATTCATGGGATGTGGGTGGCGCTGTATGGGCCAGAATTTATTGCCCGTCCCTAGCTCTCCTTGAGAAAGTGGCGAAAAGTGCAGTAGGTTGATGCCTACAGCCCTCAGGGAGGAAATTTCAGGATTTTGACCCAGTGACACCAAAGGGACGATGATATATTTCCAAGTCAGGATGGTGTGTGGCCTTGGAGAAGAGCGTTCTATGGTGAAGAGAGTGAATGTTTGCAAAATGTGATGCCAATCAAGTGGGCTTTAGTTACTTTAATAGTTTCTAGCTTTAGTGTGTGGAGGAAATCAATGTGCTATTGGGGATCCCCTTGCATTATTAGAATGGTACAAATATTAGAATATGTAGATATTAGAATTAGACTCATGCTCATAAATCAGCAAGTAAAGATATCTGAGATTAGATGGATAGAAATCAGACATTTTTTCCTATGGCTGTGGAGTCCTTTCTGTCCAAGATCCCAGATGGAAAACTGACCCTTTAATATGCAGATATACAATACAACCTGGATCACATCATAGAAAGCAATATTGTTTTTATTGCAACAATTTTGTGTTTACATACACTGCGCATATAAATCAATCAAACCCCTCCCCATGACATGCTATATTCGTATTAGTAGTCAGCCTTAATTTTCACCCCACATATGAATATTTTACTTACCAGCACTTTCTAACTGGGTGCAAGGGATCAACAGGCAATACAGGTTAAGTCACAAAATTACACAAGAGTTTAAGACATGCCCATGCAAAGCAGATTCACATGCTAACACCTGCACTAGTATTCTTCCAGCCAGCTGCAGTTTTCATGTGATGATGATGACCACAAAATTAAAGAATTTGAGGTATATCTGTAATTTTACTAACTGATAGTGATAGGTGTTGACTAAGTATGTACACTGTCCTGATGTGGTTACAGTGAGTGGAATTATTTTGACTGAAGAATAGAGTACCATTCCAAGCGTAGGACTTTGGAAGAAAAGCTGAATTATGTGTTTGTTTATGTATCTATCCTATTATGTTGTTTCTACAAACCCAGTGCTCATTGGGAAACAAGCCCATGATTCTTGCCTTGAGTTCTTAACAGTGTCCCATTTGCCACAAATATCACTCTATGTAATAGACCCAGTATCATCCAATACATATTCAATAGACATGTAGGCAATTAGAAATCCAGATATGGTAGTTGCACTTCTGCTGTGTAAATAAAGTATGAGTCAAAGACATGCTGATCAAACGTATGATCGCAAAACTCATTTGGGCAGTACATGCTTGTACATTTTAACATGCATTTATCGGTAAAATAGTAAGATGAAAAGCAGTGTGCCTGCTTTGTTGATTAGTATGGGCATTGTTTCCATATTTACTGAATTTTTGAAGATATTAAGTAAGAGTGTACATGAACTTTGTTTATATTTTGTGTACAGCAAGACATTTTCCATTAACATTAACGCTTGTGACTAAAACAACATCATTTTAGTTAACCAGTGATGCGTATTGATTTCAATTAGACAACACTGCTTTAGATGTTACTTCTAAACATAACTTTGGCGGAGGAATTTTTTGAATCACAATTGGCTTGTAGTCAAAAATCTGGCTAAATAACAAAAGTGGATGCAGTCCTTTCGGGAAGGAAACTGCCATCCTTACCTGATCTGGCCGACATGTGACCCCAGACCCACAGCATTGTGGTTGACTCTGAACTGCCCTCTGGGATGGGCAATAAATGCTAGCCTTATTGCAACCCCCTCATCCGATGAATGAATAGAATAAATATAAAATAATACTGTTTGTTTCATGTTGAGCTTCTGGCACCATTATCCATGGATTGCAATCAGTCAGAATTGCATTCTGTTGTATAGAAAGCTGGTGATTTCTTGCTGTGATCTGTGTGGATGAAGGCAAATTTACATGGGGTAGAAAGTTGCATATATAAGTATTTCAGTAGTATATGTGGTGAAATGGGAGCAAAGGAGCCAATTGAGGACCTTAAATGGCTACTTCGTATTGAACCTTTTGAAGTGGGAGTCATGCCAGGCTCTAACTGGGCTGCACACAAGGGAAGATCCCTGCATGTCACAAAATACTAACCTCCCCACCATCTTCCCAGCCCAAAGAGAAAAACAGCCTTGCCAGGCTCACCCTGAATGTTCCCAGTGAGTTTGCTTTAATGGCTTTCACTGTAGACTCCAGCAATGATCTATCATTCAGAGTTTCCTACAGTATCAACAGTGGCCTCTGTGCCTGGTTGCGCTGCCAGTACTAGAAAGCTGCCAATGTCTAATTGGCAAGCAGTTCTTGTGGGCAGGATATCCAGTGCAATCAGGTAACTGCCTCATTGTTATTAAAATCAGTCAGGGAGCGGAATGGCCACAGCGGGGTGCAACCTCCTCTCGAGCCAGCGACTCAACTTACTGCCAGATTCTGCACATGGCGTTCCAAATGCCAGTTCCTTTGCTATAAGTATGATGGTGGAAGAAATTCCTTGCACAGAACTTTTTCTTAAACCATGGACTGTTTCATATCTTCCAACAGACTTTAGGCAATCTGAAGTGGGTTTTTGTATGTATTTCTTCTGTCCATGCCTTGTCTCTCTTATTTCTCTCCAATATTGTTCATCTTCCTACTTTCTATAGAAAATTGCCCATCTGTTCATCTAATAGTGTGGAGATCTTATCAGGAGAACGAATTTTTTTTTCTTATTTTGGAAGGGAAAGTTGGTTAATGAGTCATGGATCTCGGACTTCAAATCTTTCTTTAATTAGCAAATATTTGTCATTTCAGAATTCTGATGTACTGTATCTCCCCTACAATTACAGACTATGTCTCTTACAACTTATAGAACCTAAATATTACTTTTTCCTAAAAATTTGTTATTTTTAAAAAATAAGTGTAAGGGCTTGGGTGGAGAGGAATTTAAGTGTGTGTAAGAAAATTTTCTGAATCAGTATGTGGATGTACCTACCAGAGAAGGAGCAAAATGTGATCTACTCCTGGGAAATAAGACAGGGCAGGTGACTGAGGTGTCAGTGGGAGAGCAATTTGGGGCCCATGATCATAATTTTATTAGTTTCAAAATAGTGATGGAAAAGGATAGACCAGATCTAAAAGTTAAAGTTCTAAATTGGAGGAAGGCCAATTTTGACAGTGACAGGCGAGAACTTTCAAAAGTTGATTAGAGGGCGGATCGTCGCACCTAAAGGGATAGCTGGAAAATGGGAAGCTTTCAAAAATGAGATACTGAGAGTTCAGAGACAGTATGTTCTGTTAGCATGAAGGGCAAGTGTAGCTGTAGGGAATGCTGGGTGACTAGAGAAATTGAGGTTTTGGTCAAGAAAAATAAGGAAGCACATGTCAGAGATAATCCAGCAGGGATCAAGTGAATCCCTAGAAGAGCATAAGAGCAATAGATGTACACTTATGAGGGAAGTCCAGAGGACAAATAAGCTTAAGAAGAATCCAAAGGGATTCTACAAAGTCATTTAGGACAAAAGGATAACTAGGGAGACAATAAGGCCCCCTAAAGATCAGCAAGGCTGCTTATGTGTGGGACTGCAGGATATGGGGGAGAGACTAATTCCAAACCTGAAGAAATCTTAATGATAGACAAACAGTTAGCTTATTTTTGATTTGTTTGTGTTTGCAGGGGCCTACGGTAATGGCAGAAGACCATACACCGTTAGGAGTGAAGGACGACTGAGCGAAGAGGAAATGAGGCAGAAAAGAATTTATCGATTTACAAGATGATTATTGGCTGAATCCTTTCCATCCGCCACTGTTAGCCCATTAATAGTTGCATCTTGTCAGTATTTGCACAGTTCTTGCGCATTTTCATGTAAAATCCATTTTGCAATCAAGATTGCAGGTTTCTGCCATGTTTATTCCATGTTCTTACTTTAGATATCATATAACCCACCTTTATAATTTCTTCAAAAATTTTGAGTTTGGTTTGACACTGGTGGAATGTTGGCCAAGAAGTGCAAAGTTGAAATCATAACCTTAACTAGTGCATATACAGTGAAGGTGGGAGAACGGGCTGAACACTTTGTACCATGACTGGGTTTAGCATTTAAAATGAGTTGCTAGGCTAGCTGGTGGAGGTGAGCATCCTAGCTGCACAGAAACAGTTGGATGAGTGAGCTAAATTGGACCAAATGGTCTTCCTCATCCAGCACTATCTTGTTACTGGCATCAATGGTATTTGAAGGAATCACAGGATTGCTTCCAGCATGCCAACCTAGCTGGGAGGCCACAATCCAAGGCAGTGAGGTGCATTGATTAGATCTGTGTACTGATTCTCTGATGCATAACTTTCTGCTGACAACACATGATCTCCACACAATTTCCAATGTGTCTTCCCAACCTGGACAGTAATGAAAGGCTTGTTTTTTTAATAGCACTTCTACACTTTGTCAGAAATATCTCAAGACTTTCATATGAAGAGTACTACTTAAGCGCAGTGGTTATTTTATCATCCACTGCTCAACTGCTTCATTAAGTTGGCAAGAAAAGGAACTTTAAAAGCCAATAAAGCCTTCGATATGGTAAAATAAATAAGTAATTCTTGTACTAAATGATTTTATTTGTCTTTATTTAGAATTCAGTGTTGCTGCACTCCAGTGACAGGCTTCAATTTCTACAATGGCAGTGTTTATGCTGTAATGGTTAATCTAGAATGGGGCACAGGAGATAGATCCACGCTGCCTACAAAAGTAAATTCAAGAAATCCCATATTTAGATAGCAAAAAGTTAAGCCAAGAGTATAGTGGAATGTTTTATTTGTGAACATTTAATGTATAGCAGTTAGTGTTCTTTAAAGTCAACCATGTAACTTGGTAATTGTTGCATTTAGAATGAATTACAACAAAAATGTTTTTCTTTGCCTTTACTGGATGAATGATGAGGTAGACTGCAGAGTATGAAATCAAGATCACAATGGAGGGTGGTGTGGTGGTAGTGAGGAACATTACAGTGTAGCTTGAAAAATAATCAACAATAATTTGCCTGTTAAATCAGTTTAATGTATGGGTGGTTAAGGTTTAGGTGAATGACCGTTGTTGGTAACTGGACTCATGAAAAGTGAATCTATTTACTCACACTGTTTCTACAAATGGATTTCATCCTATTCAACCACTGTTTTGAGACTTTATGACAATACACACAAGTCCAAAATCAAAATATAATCATGCATTTCATGTTCATCATTCTAGAACTAGCTGAGTAAATGGAATGGTGTGTGATTTGCTGTATTATTTAAAAATAACTTCTTTTTTCAAAATAGTTACCTCTTTATGCTGATGATTGTTTTGCTCCATAGATTATGTGCAAACAGTGCAAAAGGCTTGGCTTTATATGTTTGATTTCCTTTATTGCTGCTCCCCATTCATATCAGAATTGTGTTTGAAAATATGAATCATAAGTTTTTAGATCTGGTTACATCACTAGAAACCAATTGATTTTAGTTTTTCAAAGCAACCTTTCATGTGGGTAGGAAAAGTTCTCTAATTATCTTTTCAATGTTACATGATGTGAGCCTTATGAATCCTAGCTTTTTGATTATTACACTTGCATTCAATAAACACTGTGTACTTATTAATGTGCCTTGCAAATGTAGGTCAGGGAAAAGAACAGTTCGAATGAAACTCATCCAAACTTAATGGAGCTGGAGCACGAGAGTCAGAGGGTTTCCTTCTCTGACCACATCTGAGCAGCAAAATTACAGAGGCACTGCCAAGTTTCCTGATTTAGAAATGTCTTTCTTTTCAATTTGAGATTATTTGATTTCAGAGTCTTAAAATGAGTTTCTAATATAACCAACATTGAATAATTATTTCACTTTTGTATTTGTACAAAGAAAAATAAAAATATTACTCTTTCTAGTGCTATGTTGTCTTCACCTTGGTAAAATTGTTTTACCTTGTGTATAAAGAAGGTTTTGCTTTAGGCATATCTTGTATAATGAAACTAGCATCGGATACACTGGATGAAACAAAGATTTGTAACACACGAGATTCCTGACAGTCCAAATCAATCGTTTGAGAACCACCCCAGGCATTTTGCTACTACACAACAGTCAATTCTTCCTGTGAGCTTAGAGTCATAGAGGTTTACAGCATGGAAACGGGCCCTTCAGGCCAACTGTCAAGTTTTCACAATTAAACAAGTCCCATTCGTCCATATCCCTCCATGCCTATCATATCCATGTACCTGTCCAAATGTTTCTTAAATGACAACATTACACTAGCTTCCATCACTACCTCTGGCAACTGCTGATACAATGACCTGGATTTTACTGTAGTAAGGTTTGACTTAGCATTTGCCAAGAGTTTTCTTCTGAAATCAGCAGCAACTTCTGGAGTCCACATGTCTAATTAAATGTGGAATCCAGAAGTTGATATCAGTGATTCTACACTTGGGCTTAGGATACACTGTTGAAGTCCTTCAGATTGTGATCAATTAGAAATTGTTGAACTGATAAGAACTTCCCCTTTTATATCTGTAGTATTGCCGTGGAAAAGAATAAATATGTCCTGTTACTGAGATGTAACTGAAATTTTAATAGCAACTAAGTCATAACTGCCAAAACATGAACACTTGAGCTCTGGGAAAGAAATTTTGCAGTCATAAAATGGCAAATGTTACTGTTCTTGTATTTAAAAAAAATTTTCAAATGTTTTTTGTTTGATATTTCAGCTTCTAATATGTATGCCCCAATTTCAGTCACCAAATCACTGCATTAGAGATAGTAGGAACTGCAGATGCTGGAGAATCCGAGACAACAAGGTGCAGAGCTGGATGAACACAGCAGGCCAAGCAGCATCATCGGAGCAGAAAGGCTGACGTTTCGGGCCTAGACCCTTCATCAGAAAAGGGGGAGGGGAAGGGGGTTCTGAAATAAATAGGGAGAGAGTGGGAGGCAGATAGAAGATGGATAGAGGAGAGGATAGGTGGAGAGGAGACAGACAGGTCAGACAGGTGGGGATGGAGCCAGTAAAGGTGAGTGGAGGCGGGGAGTTAGGGAGGGGATAGGTCAGTCCAGGGAGGACGGACAGGTCAAGGGGGCGGGATGAGGTTAGTAGGTAGGAGATGGGGGTGTGGCTTGAGGTGGGAGGAGGGGATAGGTGGGAGGAAGAACAGGTTAGGGAGGCGGGGACGAGCTGGACTGGTTTTGGGATGCGGTAGGGGGAGGGGAGATTTTGAAGCTTGTGAAATCCACATTGATACCATTGGGCTGCAGGGTTCCCAAGCGGAATATGAGTTGCTGTTCCTGCAACCTTCGGGTGGCATCGTTGTGGCACTGCAGGAGGCCCAGGATGGACATGTCGTCTGAGGAATGGGAGGGGGAGTTGAAATGGTTCGCGACTGGGAGGTGCAGTTGTTTATTGCGAACCGAGCGTAGGTGTTCTGCAAAGCGGTCCCCGAGCCTCCGCTTGGTTTCCCCGATGTAGAGGAGGCCACAACGGGTACAGCGGATGCAGTATACCACATTGGCAGATGTGCAAGTGAACATCTGCTTGATGTGGAAAGTCTTCTTGGGGCCTGGGATGGGGGTGAGGGAGGAGGTATGGGGGCAGGTGTAGCACTTCCTGCGGTTGCAGGGAAAAGTGCCGGGTGTTGTGGGGCTGGAGGGGAGTGTGGAGCGGACAAGGGAGTCACGGAGAGAGTGGTCCCTCCGGAAAGCAGATAAGGGTGGGGAGGGAAAGATGTCTTTGGTAGTGGGGTCGGATTGCAGATGGCGGAAGTGTTGGAGGATGATGCGTTGGATCCGGAGGTTGGTGGGGTGGTACGTGAGGATGAGGGGGATTCTTTTTTGGTTCTTATTGCGTGGACGGGGTGTGAGGGATGAGTTGCGGGAGATGTGGGAGACACGGTTGAGGGCGTTCTCGACCACTGAGGGGGGGAAGTTACGGTCCTTGAAAAACGAGGACAACTGAGATGTACGGGAGTGGAATGCCTCATCCTGGGAGCAGATGCGGCGGAGGCGAAGGAATTGGGAATAGGGGATGGCATTTTTGCAGGAAGGTGGGTGGGAGGAGGATTATTCTAGGTAGCTGTGGGAGTCGGTGGGCTTGGAATGAATATCGGTTTCTAGGTGGTTGCCAGTGTCTTTAGGGGCACTAAAAATGTGATTGATGCTTACCCTACTTGATGACATCCACTGTTGCTGGGTACCTGGGAATCTCCTTGGATTAGAGTCAGATTTGATTAATATCAGGTACTCCAAATTACAGAGATTGCTTGCCTTTCATGATGAAGAAAAATCTAACAATTTCACCACTATTGACCACAAAGCTCAGGCCTATGTTTTTTTTTATCTTGCTACTGTTGTTTGGTCTGTCTTGGCACTTTTCCCTATTCTTTTCTCTGTTTCATTCATTTGATGGAGATTGTTGCCGTGAAAGGAGTAACTAGTGAAAGCAAACTGCCATTAGCACTGCCTCAAGTGGACTACTATTTACAACTTGTCCATGATTTTAATACCTTCATAATGTGAAGAGCACCAAAATGGACACAATAGGGGTAAAAGGCACTCGGAGTGGAGGTTCAAACAGGGTGACAGTGGGTCAGCTGCTGTTATACACACTGCTAAATCAGTCCTTCAGTTGAAAGAATTGGAACTATTGTGATAGTCAGAGAAACATAGTAATAATTGTATTGACAAAGACAAATATTAAATCAGATGGAAAAGTGTCATTGACTATTTGTCTCTTAATCTCCTATACAACCAGTGACGATTATATTTTAGCTGTGAAATCTTACTTCATGTTCTCTCAATTGCAGTTTGAAGGTCTGCATGATCTGTTGTTGGCAGTTACAGTGGGCGTAGAAATCTGGTGGAAGTGAGCCCTGCCCTATGTTGTCATTACATTCCACAATAACTATGCTAACCATCTAACTTCAAACATAGGTATACAAGCCTCTGCTTATAAAACAACCTAAAATTATTACTTCAAACAGCATAACACCCTGCCTTTTATGGACTTCTTTCCCCACAGTGACTCATTCTTGTATCCCTTTAACATACTCAAACCATCTAACTTTCCTCTTAAAGGAATGCAATCATCAAACTATGATTAGCCCCTCCAACATGCAGTTCAGTCTGTGACTCATCATTCTGATATGCTTATTTTCATCTTTAGCTATTACAATCTTGGGCAAAACTGACAGCTGCCTGCTCTATTCCAGAATAAATTTGGGGTAGAGATGTCTTCCTTTAAATTATGAGTCTGCTTTGTTTGCTGTTCTTTATTGGCGTTTGTAATTGTATCAGCACTGTAGCCACTCTAATTGATTCAAAATGGTCTTTGTTTTAAACATTATGCCTGGCCTGTATCTCTACTTCAAAATGAGTTGTTTTTACCCAGCAGTCAGTTGTGTAATCACCTTAGACTGCTTTGACTTCATTAACTATAATAGTCTTCCCAAAAGATGCGGGGGTTTCTGTCTTTTTTTACTATTCATCTGTGGGATGTGGGCGTCTCTGGCTGAGCCAGCATTTCTTGCCCATCCCTAGTTGCCCCCTTGAGAAGGTGGTGGTGAGCTGCCTTCTTGAACCACTGCCGTCCTCCTGCTGTGGATTGACCCACAATGTTATTAGGGATGGAATTCCAGGATTTTGACCCAGCAACAGTGAAGGCATGGTGATATATTTCCAAGTCAGGGTGGTGAGTGACTTGGAGGGAAACTTCGAGGTGGTGGTGTTCCCATGTATCTGCTACCCTTGTCCTTCTAGATGGAAGTGGCCGTGGGTTTGGAAAGTGCTGTCTGAGGATCTTTGGTGAATTTCTGCAATGCATCTTGTAGATAGTACACACTGCTGCTACTGAGCGTCGGTGGTGGAGGGAGTGGATGCTTGTAGATGTGGTGCCAATCAAGTGGCCTGCTTTGTCCTGGATGGTGTCAAGCTTCTTGAGTGTTGTTGGGGCTGCACCAATCCAGGCAAGTGGGGAGCATTCCATCACACTCCTGACTTGTGCCTTGTAGATGGTGGACAGGCTTTGGGGAGTCAGGAGGTGAATTACTCGCCGCAGTATTCCCAGCTTCTGGCCTGCTCTTGTAGTCACTCTGTTAATGTGGTGAGTCCAGTTGAGTTTCTGGTCAATGGTAATCCCCAGGATGTTGATAGTGGGGGATTCAGTGATGGTAACACCATTGAATGCCAAGGGGCAGTGGTTAGATTGTCTCTTATTGGTGATGTTCATAGCCTGGCATTTGTGTGGCACGAATGTCACTTGCCACTTATCAGCCCAAGCCTGGATATTGTCCAGATCTTGTTGCATGTGAACACGGACTGCTTCAGTATCTGAGGAGTCACAAATGGTGCTGAACATTGTGCAATCATCGGCGAACATTCCCAATTCTGACCTTACGATGGAGGGAAGGTCGTTGATGAAGCAGCTGAAGATGATTGGGCCTAGGACACTACCCTGAGGAACTCCTGCAGAGATGTCCTGGAGCTGAGAGATTGACCCCCAGTAACAACAACCATCTTCCTATGTGTCAGATATGACTCCAATGCTTACCTGTGCTTTGACTTGAGGTTAGTGAATAGGGTAAAACTAATGGCCAACTTGATGTATACATAGAATGTAGAACAATACGACACAGGAACAAGCCCTTCAGCCCACAATGTTGTGCCAAACATGACACCAAATTTAACTCGTATCAGAGATAGTAGGAACTGCAGATGCTGGAGAATCTGAGCCTTCCTGCTCCTATGATGCTGCTTGGCCTGCTGTGTTCATCCAGCTCTATGCCTTGTTGTACCAAATTAAACTAATCCTTTCTGCCTGCCCTTGGTCCTTATCCCTCCATTCCTTGCATATTCATGTGTTTATCTAAAAGTCCCTTAAATGGCCCTATCGTATCTGCCTCCACC